CCTGGCCTCAGCAATCCTCCTGCCAGTCTCCCAAAGTGCTGGGATTATAGGCATGAGCCCCTGCATCTGGTCAATTAATCTTGTCTATGGTAACTATTCATTTATTTACGGCAGTACAGAGTTATACTTACTTTATTCTGTGGGTTACAAACAAATTAAGTCACCATTTATTATGTTGCTCAAATCTTCCAATTTTGCACTTTGGGAGCTCTACTGGTTAGTCTCAAGTGATCAAAGTTAATATCATCAATAAGACAAACCAGTATTACATGCCTTCCGTGTGATACGCTGAAGACATGTCACCAGAGCTATTCCCACCATCTGTTTCTTTTTTTACTTGAATACTTCCTTACTTTCTTGCATCACAAGATGCTCCAGCTCTAGAATCAGTCACTATCCAAGGAACCCTAGTTCTTTTCACTGGAGAATGGTATTCAGAATCCAAGATCTGGGCTGGGTATGGTAGCTCACACCTATAATCCCAACAGTTTGAGAGACTGAGGTGGGAGGACTGCTTGAGGACAGAAGTTTGACACCACCCTGTGCAGCATAGCGAGACCTTGTCTCTAAAAATAATAAATAAAACTTTAAAAAACCAAGATCTGGGCATAAAATATATGGGCATAAAATATATTTTTATATTTAGTAAAGTTAGTCCATCTTTACCATGCAAGTTTTTAAAAAAATGTATTTAAGGCCGAGCTTGGTGGCTCAGCCTATAATCCCAGCACTTTGGGAGGCTGAGGCGAGTGGATTGCCTGAGCCTGTGAGTTCGAGAACAGCCCGGGCAACTTGGTGAGACCTCATCTCCACAATAAAGAAAAAAAATTAGCCGGGCATGTGGCACATACGTGTAGTTATGGCTATTTGGAAGGCTGAGGTGGAAGGATTACCTGAGCCCAGCAGGTTGATGCTGGAGTGGCCATGAGTGTGCCACTGCCCTACAGCCTGGGAGGCAAAGTGAGATTCTGACTCAAAATAAATAAATAAATAAATAAAGGATTTAATATTTGTGTTTTCTTTCTACTTGACTAATTTTTTTCCCCCAGTCAGTGCTCATTATTTAAAGCCTGTTAACTTAAGGCAGGAATGGCCACAACATCTAGTTTTAGTTATTACTTTTCATCAAGGTATAAATTACCTAAATGTTCATCAGTGAGGAAAATGGGCAAATCAATTGTGGTATTTTCATATATACCATAGCAGTGGAATAAATGAAAATGAATAAACTACAGCTATAGTGTTAATGTGCAGAAAAACACACTGAGAAAGGTACTATTACAGTTTAAAAACATGCAAAAAATGCTATATAAATTTAGAGACCCCTGCAATTCCCCTACTGGGAATATACCCTGAAGAACTCAAATCACTCTATAGAAAAGATACCTGCACACGTATATTTATCGCAGCGTTGTTCACAATAGCAAGAACCTGGAAACAACCATGCTGCCCATCAAAAGAGGACTGGATTAAAAAAATGTGATACATATACATGATGGAATACTACGCAGCCATAAAAAAGAACAAAATCATGAATTTCGCAGCAACCTGGATGGAACTGGAGTCTATAATACTGAGTGACCTCTCACAGAAACAAAGATCCGAGTATCACATGTTCTCACTCATATAATGGACCTTGAACATCCAATGTAATACTATAAGAAAATGTACTGGGAAACTATAGGGGGGGATGGGATTAACAGTAGCAATTATCTGTCTGGGGATGGGGAAACACCTCTTATCAACAGGGTGCCTGAATGAAACGTAACTGTACACCTAACCCTTAACTGTACCCCATAAAACCATAATAAAAAATATTGATTAAAAAAAAATTTAGGGACTATATATATATGCAGTAAGTAAATAATATGAAAACAATAAATACCATATTTAGGATACTTGGTTTGAGGGGTGGGGAGGTAAGAGAGAGAAGGAAGTTGATGAGGGGCATACAAGGAATATCAGTTATATCAGCAATTTTTAAAAGGATAAGTGGCAAATACAAATACTCAAAATATTTCTTAATACTTTTTTGAAGACACAAATCAACTAAGAAGATTAAGAATAACCAAGTAGGCTGGGCTCGGTGGCTCAGCCTGCAATCCCAGCATCTGGGGGGCCGAGGTAAGCGGACTGCCTGAGCCCATGGGTTCGAGACCTGCCTGGGCAACTTGGCAAGATCTCATCTCTACAATAAATCAAAAATTAGTCGGGAGTGGTAGCATGCACCTGTAGTTCTGGCTACTTGGAAGGCTGAGGCGGAAGGATCGCCGGAGCCCAGCAGGTCGAGGCTGCAGTGGCTGGGAGCGGCCACTGCACTCCAGTCTGGGTGACAGAGTGAGACTCCAACTCAAAAAAAAAAAAAGAATAACCAAGTAATTGACCCACATGAGAACAGTTCAAAATAATACTGCCACTCAAATTAATTAGCTTAAGCTAGTTGATATACTGATTTTTAAGTCTAGAAATAAAACAACAGAAAGAGAGCACTATACAAGTATGAAGAGTATACGTATAATCACTAAATACTAAAACACTAAATCTTGGGGTCTTTTAATCATACAGAACCTACTATTTCAAAGAAGTAATAGGATTAGACACAGATAAGATTATAGATGCAGTTAAGTGATGTCAGTTTATTAAAAGGAAGCTAACAGGCGGGCTGGTGGCTCAGCCTGTAATCCCGCGCCTTAGGGAGGCTGAGGTGAGTGGATTGCCTGAGCCCACGGGTTCGAGACCCACCTGGGCAACTTGGTGACACCTCATCTCTACGATAAATCAAAATCAGCCGGGAGTGGTAGCGTGCACCTGTAGTTCCAGCTACTTGGAAGGCTGAGGCGGAAGGATCGCTGGAGCCCAGCAGGCCGAGGCTGTGGTGGACTCCAGTCGGGGCAACAGAGTGAGACTCCAACTCAAAAAAAAAAAAGGAAGCTAAGAATATTGAAGCAGGCCAGGCTCGGTGGCTCAGCCTGTAATCCCACCAGCACTTTGGGAGGCCGAGGCGAGTGGATTGCCTGAGCCTGCAGGTTTGAGACCAGCTCAAGCAACTTGGAAAGACCTCGTCTCTACAATAAATAAAAAATTAGCCGAGCATGGTTGCACACGCCTGTAGTTCCAAGCTACTTGGAAGGCTGAGACAGAAGGCTCGCCGGAGCCCAGCAGGTTGAGGCTGCGGTGGCTGAGAATGGCCACTGCACTCCAGTCCGGGTGACAGAGTGAGACTTCAACTCAAAAAAAAAAAGAAATGTTTCAGATTAAAGGAGAATAGAGACATGACAACTGAATGCAATGTGTGATCCTAAACTGGGAAGAAAATTGACATAAAGAATATTATTGGGACAACTGGAGAAATTTGAATATAGTTTTTGGATTAGGAAATAGTATTCCATCAATAATAAATTTTCTGATTTTAATACTACCCTGGTTGGGCACAGTGGCTCATGTCTGTAATCCCAGCACTTTGGGAGGCCAAGATGGGTGGAATGCTTGAGCCCAGGAGTTCAAGACCAACCTGGGTCACACAGCAAAACCTCATCTCTACAAAAAAGAAAAAAAAGTAATTAGCCGGGCATGGTGGCTTGCGTCTATAATCCCAGCTACTTGGGAAACTGAAGCAAGAGGATCACCTGAACCCAGGAGGTTGAGGCTGCTGTGAGCTGTGATCACATCATTGCATTCCAGCCTGCATGACAAATTGAGACCTTAACTTAAAAACAACAACAACAAAAAACCCAAAACAACTATCCTACAATTATGTTAAAAAAAAAAAAGTCCTTGTTCTTGGAAAACATGCTGAAATATTTAGAGGTCAAGGAGAATGATGAGTGCAACTTGCTCTGAAAAAAAATAATATGTTGGTATATGCATATATAAACAGATACAGACAAAATAATTAGGCAGATGTAGCAAAATAATTGGTGAATCTACATGAAGATCATAGGGAATTCTAAAATGTTTGTAATATTTGTATAACTTTGAAATTACTTAAAAAGACTTTAAAAATAATACTGTAAAGACATTGCTATTTTTTTTTTTTTTTTTGAGTTGGAGTCTCACTCTGTCGCCCAGACTGGAGTGCAGTGGCCGCTCCCGGCCACCGCAGCCTCGACCTGCTGGGCTCCAGCAATCCTTCTGCCTCAGGCTTCCAAGTAGCTGGAATTACAGGCATGCGCTACCACGCCCGGCTGATTTTTTGATTTATTGTAGAGATGAGGTCTCACTGCCCAGGGCGGGTCTCAAACCTGCAGGCTCAGGCAATCCACTCACCTCAGCCTCCCAAAGGCGCGGGATTACAGGCTGAGCCACCGAGCCCGGCTACACTGCTATCTTTTAAGATGAACAGTAGGGGCCAGGTGTGATGGCTAAAGTCTATAATCTCAGCATTTTGGGAGGCCGAGGTTGGAGAATAACCTGAAGCCAGGAGTTCAAGACCAGCTGTGGCAACAAAGCAAAACCCTGCCTCTACAATTTGCCAGGCAAAGCAGCACATGCCCGTAGTCCCCTTAGGAGGCTTAAGTGAGAGGATCACTTGAGCCCCGGAGTGTGAGGCTGCAGTGCGCTATGATCCACCACTGTACTCTGGCCTGAGCAACAGAGTGAGACCCTGTCTCTACAAAAAAACAAAACAAAAAACAGTGTGCAAATACCAGGCTATCAAAACAATCTCTAGTTCCAACTTCAGACTGGTGATTAGGTATGACATTTCTAACACTAGATTTTTACTTACAGTAATAAATTCTTGTTGACTATTAAAATTGTCCCTTGTATAAACAAACTATCATGGGATTAGAGTTAAACACAACAACAAAACCCTTTACAGTTTTGGTCAAAAGACTATAAAAATTGAAGAAGATGAGCCTGGTGGCCAGCTACTAAGGAGGGCTACTTGAGCCCAGAACTGTGAGGCCAGCTAGGGTAGCAGTCTCAAAAAACAAACAAATGAACAAAAAATTGAAGAGACTTAACTCATGGGAATAATATGTGTATATACTTCCTTTTACCTGAGACATCCATCTGTCATCTCCTTGAATATCTTCTGCTGCATGTGGAATAGCTGCTGGGTTTGTGTCTCCTTGGCTCATTCTACACCTGAGGAAAAATGTCTGTCATGTTTTATTTATTAAAAGGAATGTTTGCTACCATTTATTTAAATATTACATGTCAGCTTTTAAATAATAATTTAAGTTTCATTGTGGCTTTGCCTAGAAACTAAACAACTGGGGTTTATTTCCAGCAGAAATTAATTCCTAAGACTGCCTAAGTCCCATAAATACAGAATCACTAAACTTCCGGACAAGTTTGAGTATCACTTATGAACAGTACATTACATTGTTAAAATCTGCTCCAAGGATACACTTTACACCTATATTATTTTTTTCACAATTATGTTACTGTAAGTACCATATGACACAAGGAATTAGACACTTACAATGAAATCTACATTACAGTTTTTTAGACTGTTAAGTTACACACTTAAGAATTACTACAGCAATGATTAGAATCCACTGGTTACTAAACATCACACAAATAAGTGTAGTACAGATAGATTATAATAAAAGTGGTCATAGTGGTACTGCTTTTTGGCAAATGCTTACGAGGTATTAAGAAAATTTTAATAGCTATGAGCCCAAATACATTATCTGATAGTGGGAAAGAAGGAGTAAGTACAACTCAGAAAAATTAGAAACGCTCATATTCTGGAAGGGCAAAGAAGAAATCAGATGAGCCGGGTTCGGTGGCTCAGCCTGTAATCCCAGCACTTTGGGAGGCTGAGGTGAGTGGACTGCCTGAGCCCGCAGGTTCGAGACCCACCTGGGCAGCGAGACCTCATCTCTACAATAAATCAAAAAATCAGCCGGGTGTGGTAGCACATGCCTGTAATTCCGGCTACTTGGAAGGCTGAGGCGGAAGGATCAGTCTGGGCGACAGAGTGAGAGTGAGACTCCAACTCAAAAAATAAAAATAAAAAAGAAATCAGATGATTTTCAGCTGATTCTGGAGAACATATACTAGAAACATTAGGCTCCAAATGCAAAGGATGATGAAAAAGAAAAAATCTGGGATTTTATGGCTTAAAAGGAGGTCATCCTCTATGAGAATAATCTTTTTATTTCCCTTGCCATCCTCAAACATAGCTAACCTTTCTCCGACTGAGTTACAGTCATTCAATATATATTTACTGAGTACACAAAACACATTGTATTACCAAGGTAGTCATTTTTTAGAAACACAAAGTACCAAATACTAAGCATGAAAAAATAAATTACAGGAGCAAACAATATTAACACTAATTATGCAAACAAATTAGCTCAGTTCTAAATGACATGAGATCTAAGACAATTAGGTTGAGGGCTAAGCGCAATATCTGACTAAAAATATAAAATCCCACTCATACCCTGGGTATATGTTTCTTTAGATTACTGAAATTTGTTACCACCAGAAAATAGGAGCTATCTATGAAAGACTATATATGCTATATGTTTTATACATACCACCTCCAATCCTCACAAAAGTACTGCAAAATGAAGAAAACAAGAATCAAGAGAATTTAGGCAATTTGCACAGCAAGTGACTGGGGGGGATCTGAAATCAGGCTGCCTGACACCAAAAATGTCACATCTGGCCCTCTGATCAAAAATTAGTTCATGCTAACTCCCCTTAAAGGAGGCCTTATATCTAACCATTTCACCCAGAAGACACATGCAACACGAATCTAAAAACATCGATATAAAATACAAGAATCAGGAAGAAATACAAGATGAATTTGTATAGCTCCGATCAGACTATGGTATCTGTTTCAGGTTTGTCTAAGGAGGGTATATAAAAATTAAAAGATGCATAAAGGAAAAAAGAAAAACCACAAAGAGTTAAAGACAAATAGCCATACAGGTTTGAAAATTGGGGGGTTTTGCTTTTAAACCAATAAAACATTCTAGACTTTCTGTGTAGAAGTTTCTATAGGTCTATTTTTAATTCTAGGTTTAAATCTGGTCATTCAGGTTAAGTCTGATGATTAATGAAAGTTTTCATTTAAAAAGTACCTTTCCTGCAGATCAAAAAGCTCTTACTGCCCTTTAGGCAGACAGGAGACAATCAACCTTTCCCATTTTTTTTTTTTTTGAAAGGGAAAGTACAACTAAAATTAGATATCTGTACACATAAATGTAACATTCAGCTCCATTTTCTATTCCCTAATTGAAACAATTTACTTCCTAACTTTCACAATAGATTTTTAAAACCCAACCTTTCATCAGTTTGTTCTCACTTGTTTTGTTACATGGAGAAATACTTTACATGTTAGACATTGTTGAGGCAAAAGTGAACTGACACAGTTTACTGAGAGCACAATTGAGAACTCACTACTGAAAAGGAGAGCCGGGCTCGGTGGCTCAGCCTGTAATCCCACACTTTGGGAGGCCGAGGTGAGTGAATTGCCTGAGCCCACAGGTTCCAGACCTGCCTGGGCAACTTAGCGAGACCTCATCTCTACAATAAATTTAAAAAAAAAAAAAAGGAGAAAAAGAATCTGTTCTACAATCAATATATGATTATATAATTGAAACTATTTCTATGGGGGATTGTTTAAAGAACAAGAGTGACTGTTAATATGAGATGCCCATGCTTATAATCATGTATGTTTAAATACATTACCTCACCACTTTACAACAAAATGCAGGCACTTCAACTTTATTTTAGTTCTTGAAATATCACATTGATCTTGTTGAAAAACTTGAAAAAGAATTTTTTTTTTTTTTGAGTTGGAGTCTCACTCTGTCACCCAGACTGGAGTGCAGTGGCCACTCCTGGCCACCGCAGCCTCGACCTGCTGGGCTCTGGCGATCCTTCCGCTTCAGCCTTCCAAGTAGCTGGACCTACAAGCGCGCGCTACCACGCCTGGCTCGTTTTTTATTTATTGTAGAGATGAGGTCTCGCTAAGTTGCCCAGGTGGGTCTCGAACCCGCGGGCTCAGGCAATCCACTCACCTCAGCCTCCCAAAGGCGTGGGATTACAGGCTGAGCCACCGAGCCCGGCTGAAAAAGAATTTTGATAAACTATCAGGTGTCTGTAGGGAAGTAGCCAACATGGTGAGAAACTTGAAAACCTATCATATTAGAAATAGTTGAAAGTGGCCAGGCATGGTGGCTCAAGCCTATAATCTCAGCACTTTCAGAGGCTGAGGAGGGAGAATTGTTTGAGCCCAAGAGTTTGACACTAGCCTAGGCAATGCAGCAAGATTTTGTCTCTACAAAAAATAGAAAAACCAGTCAGGCATGGTGGTGTTTGCCTGTAGTGCCAGCTACTTAGGAGGCTGAGACAGGAGGATTGCCTGTGCTCAGGAGGTCGAGACTGCAGTGAGCTGTGATCACACCACTGTATTCCAGTCTGGGTGACAGAATGAGATTAAAAAAAAAGAAAAGGAAATAAATGAAAGAAATAGGATGTTTATAATAACCTATAGAAAAACTGGGGGAAAGGAAGACACAGGACAAAAATAGCTGTCTTAAAGCATTCAAAGATTACTAGGAAAGGATATTAAGTTTATCTACACAACCTCAACCAGAAAGACGGGGACAGTGGGTAGAACATAAAGTAAGACAAATTTCTAACAAATGAGTAACAAAATGAAATGGCCTGTCTCACAAGACAGATTTCTCTCAATGGAGACATAAAGAGAGGCTAGGAAGCATATGAGTAAAGATTGGTGGAAATTAGTGAGGTCCAAACATTTTTGAATGCTTTAGAATATTTTTGAAATGCACCAAAATGTTTATTTACATATGAATATGTGAATTACTGTTAATGTGAATGTTAAATTATTAGAAAAGCTCAATTTTTCCCTTTATAGATTAAAAAACATTTATTTTAGCCAGGCTTGGTGGCTCAGCCTGTAATCCCGTGCCTTTGGGAGCCCGTGGGTTCAAGACCTGCCTGGGCAGCGAGACCTCATCTCTACAATAAATCAAAAAATCAGCCGGGCGTGGTAGCTCATGCCTGTAATTCCGGCTACTTGGAAGTCTGAGGCAGAAGGATCGCTGGAGCCCGGCAGTTCAAGGCTGCGGTGGCCGGGAGTGGCCACTGCACTCCAGTCTGGGCGACAGAGTGAGACTCCAACTCAAAAAAAACAAAAAAACAAAAACATTTATTTTTTTTAAATTATGAAAAAAGATTGTAAGATTTTTCCAAATTCCAATGGATCATCTTATGCATCCCTGGAGGTGCATATCTTCTACTTTCAAGATCAATGGTCTAAAGATCTCTTTATTTTCTAATTTATTTATTAGAAACAGGGTGTCACTATATTGCTCAGGCTGGACTCAAACTCCTGTGCTCAAGTGATCCTCTTTCCTCAGATTCCCAAGTGGCAGAGACTACAGGCACATATCACTGTAGCCAGCTTAGATATCTAGAACTCAGTGTACAGACATGAATTTTCAGAGTTCATCTGACAGGTGAACAATTAACATAAAATAATAAATTAATATTATTAATAACTTACTTTTCAGCTGGGCTCGGTGGCTCAGCCTGTAATCCTGTGCTTTGGGAGGCCGAGGTGAGTGGATTGCCTGAGCCCACGGGTTAGAGACCCACCTGGGCAACTTGGTGAGACCTCATCTCTACAATAAATCAAAAATTAGCCGGGCTTGGTAGTGCGCGCCTGTAGTTCCAGCTACTTAGAAGGTTGAGGCGGAAGGATCGCCGGAGTCCAACAGGTTGAGGCTGTAGTGGCCGGGAGCAGCCACTGCACTCCAGTCTGGGCAACAGAGTGAGACTCCAATTCAAAAAAAAAAGGAAAAACAAAACAAAACAAAAAGAACTTACTTTTTACAAGCCCCTATGCTAGGAAGTTTGTTTTTTAAATAAAACTGAAGTTCAGAGAGATGCAACAGTATAGTTGGTTAAGTAGGAGAGCTGGGATTGGAACCCAGGGTAAAAGACTTCCAAAGTTTGTTACTCTTGAGCAAATGATGCTATGTTCTACATAGAAAAGACTGTATGGGTCAGCCTTGGTGGCTCACCCTGTAATCCGTGCTTTGGAAGGCCAAGGTGAGTGAATTGCCTGAGCCCACGGGTTTGAGACCCGCCTGGGCAACTTAGCGAGACCTCAT